CCACTTCCTCACTCCTGATCCATCTCTTAAAGACCTGCTCTAAATGGCGAGCACACTCGAGGTAGGAATCACCAGGTCTCTTCTTCCCACCTCGGAACTTTTGGCGATAGGCTTCGGGCCGCAGCTCGTAAGCCCTCAAAATATCAGCCTTAAAGTCCTCGTAACTTTCTAGGTCTTCCGCCGACATATTGTCGTAGGCCTCCAAGGCCCTACCTTTCAGCTTATTGGCCACTAGGCCAACCCATCTCTCTCCCGACCATCCAAACTCAGCCGCCTTCTTCTCAAATCGTCTAAACCATTCTGCAACCTTCTGCTCGTCAAAGTCAGGGATGAGCTGCAGACTCCTTACCATCTGGCGCTCAACTGTGTTCTCTCCTTCTCCTCCCTTATGGGTTGAGTTAGCCCCCAGTCTAGATCTTTCCCACTCAAAATCTCTGTTCTTCTCTACCTCCAACCTTCTAACTTCTAGATCCACCCTTCTCGCTTCATTCCTCTCTTCAACCTCTAATCTTCTCGCTTCATTCGCGGCTTCTATCTCTAACCTTCGAGCCTCTCTCCTCTCTTCAGCTTCTATCTTTCTCGCTTCTGCTTCTAATTCCATTCTCTTTATTTCTAATTGGAATCTTAATTCCTCCGCCATTCCGACGGACTGTAAACTGCCAGCAACACTAGCAGCTGGGCTCACTCTCCTTGAACCCATCATGTGCTCACCGGAACCAACACGGCCCGTTGTATGCTGCAGGGGCTGTTCAGGCCCTTCCTGAGCAAACTGCAAACTTCCTGTAGGGCTATGCTCACTACCAGGACTAACAGGCCTATCTTCACCTAGGCATGGCTGTTCAGTAACGCCACGTACAGGGCTGGCTCGGGCCGAGCCATCCTCGAGGGGAGTAAGTACATCACGTCTGTCTTCCATCGTTACAGTGTGTGTGGGCTCACACTAACAACACACTAACACTGTTTTTCTACTCACTGTAATTCTTTAGAATCCTGGCGAGGTCGCCAAATGTTATGGTTTGAGGCCTCACACACGGTCGTCCACCGTGTCAAACCGGGCACGGTTCTTATGCCCTAGTGCTGGGGGTTCACTTATGAACAACCCAGTCACAACCACGTTGCGGGCGTGTACGAACTGTTGTGCTGATGTTTAGTCGACTATCCCGTAGGACTAATCACTCCGAGGGCCACACGCCGGCAGCTGGACAACAGGCTATACGCAGAAATACCCGGTTAAATAACCTTGGCATTCACTAGCCTACAAACACAGCACCAACAGCCACCCCGTCAACGTAAAGAGGTCGCCAGTCCTTTTCACCTAAACAAAGGACAAGGAATCTCCCAGCAATAACCACCTTCTCCTCCTTACATTCTAATGAGACTTACAGTGAGCACAAGATTACAGTGCTTTGCCAAGGAGCTATCGCCCCAACCAGAATATCGCCCACAAGGTCTTCCACCCACTTCTGGTTGAGCAATAACCCCTCTCGACTCAAATTACTACCCTACAAAGCAGCTTCCTACGCAGGAGACTCTGTGCAGTGTATAAAATGAGTCGTAGTGAACAACCACTTAAACGGGATTGGTGTTCATT